AATATTTTGCCCACAGAAAGACAGAATTTCTGATATTGCTTCTGATAGAAAGCTTTGACATTCCAAGCTACGGTGCCTTCAGGATATGGTTAAAAACAATTCAAGATGGCAATCAAAAAGCTCTCTTTTTTTTTTCAAACGTGTGTTGTGTGACACCCCCGATTCCAAACTTGACAAGAGTGGAGGAAGTGCATCTCCTGTAGCTTGGATGTAGACTTGAGTTCAGTGGTGGATGTTCATAATTAGTTGAAGGCCGCTTCTGATGTTCCTGGTGGGGCAATTAATTCCTTCATCCAGCAATACCCTTTCAAGAGTTGGGAGCAGCCTGTAAGAGACACCAGGGACCATCAATGAGATTCCTCAGTTCACACAGACATTGGCTTGCTTTTAATTACGAAGAAGACCCGTGCTTTCATTGTCTTCAGGCTTCTTTTTGAACTATTACAAGAAGAAGTGCATTGGGAGAACTTTGAAAACGATTCAGCCGAAGGATGTGCTCCAGCCCTTGCATGACCCCTGACTATTCTTGCAGTTTCTTGCCGGTAGCTTCCGCCGCCTTCTCTCTATTCCTCCTCATCCCATTACTTGGATGAGCTTTCAACCTAACCAAGAGAATTGTTGGTATGGCTGTTGGGTCAAGCGTAGTTTCTGGGGACAAAAAAAAAAGACAACTCTGTGTAGGAGAGCTTTCATAAAATATCGTCTTCCAGGATTGTCTTCAACTTCTCAATCTAGGCATTTATTTTTATTTTTTATTTTTTTGGTCCACTTCTTGAATGTTTTTCTTCTTCTCGGTTATAGAAGTTTTTCGTCTTCTCAGCCAAGGGCAAAAGGACTGAGAAGGGCTGGTTCAAAGTCGCACAGCTGGCTTCCGGCCCTAAGAGAGGACCAGAACGTGGGTCTCCTTGTGTAGCAGATTTACCGTGTTTCCCCGAAAATAAGACCCTGTCTTATATTTTTTTTGAACCCTGAAATAAGTGCTTGGCCTTATTTTCGGGGAGGTCTTATTATTTTGGGGCACATGGAGCAAGGCGGGGCTCCTCTTGCCGTATTACCTGATTTCCAGCTCTGTCTCCCTAACCCTAACCAGAGGAAATGGCGGGGACCGGTTGCACATTCATTTAAATATTTTCGGAGAGGACTTATTTTCGGGGAGGGCTTATTTTAGTGCATGCACTCAAAAGCCCAAGTGGGCTTATTATCAGGGGATGTCTTATTTTCGGGGAAACACGGTAACTACTACCCCAACTGACTGAAGAGGCCAAGGAAGAGATGTTCCTTAAAACAGATTATCTGGGTCGTCATGGGTTCTTTTAGAGACCTGCTAGTTTTGGAGAAACTAATGAATGGAAGTATGAGTGAATGTACATGATGGAAATTTGTAATGGTTGATTTTCTATTGTGACCAAAAGAAAGTGCACCAATCCTCCGTTTCGCTTTTCATCTGGTCAAACCGTAGGAATCCTATGTAGGTATAGATCATAAAATATAGAACATAGAATAACAGAGTTGGATGGGATCTTGGAGGTCTTCTAGTCCAACCCCCTGCTCGAGCAGGAGACCCTACCATTCCGGACATGGTGGAGCACCCACAACTTCTGAAGTCAACCTTGTTCTCACTGTCAGGAAATTTCTCCTTATTCCAGGTTGATTGTATGTGTGTGTGTGTGTGTATTTATATATGTGTGTGTGTGTATAGAGAGAGAGAGAGAAAGAGACTATATACAGTATAATTATATATTATTGTATTGTATTGTAAATATAGTTATACAATCATAGCGAATAAAGCAGGTTCATTTCTGCAAATCTCCAGCACAGGCCTTCAATTTGAAAAGGGTTGGAGGGAGCAGAGGAATTAGAAAATACTCCCCTCCTTCCCCCCCTCCCTGCATTTTCTGCTTTACCCAAATGATGAATCTGAAATGCTTTTGAAGGATGATATGTACCTGTTGGTACAGCTTTCCCTCCATGGTTCAAATTGTCTTGCAGAAAAAAAAAGAAAAGAAAAAATACTCTGAAAGCAAAATTAAAACTTCCAAGTAATCTGCCAGAAGAGTGCCAATCCTCCTCTCCCAGATCTTCTCTTTGGGGAGGGTTAGGAGATGCCCGTGTTTAGCATTCTCTTCCTTTGGCAACCCTGGAATTAGTGTGTCAAGGAGAATCAAAGCTCAAAGAACTTGAATTCATTTCATCTGCATCTACATTGAATTAATTTGAAGAGAGTTGACACGATTACGATCCAGCCACAAATTTAATGATTTCCCCCTTGTGCCATACAGATAGTCCTTGGCTTACAACCACAAATGACCCCAAAATTTCTTTTGCTAAGCGAAACATTTGTTAAGTGAACTTGGCCCCGTTTGCCAGAGTTGTTCAGTGAATCACTGCAGTTATTAAGTTAGCAACCAGGTTGTTATAAGTCCGTGATGGCAAACCTATGGCACGGGTGCCACAGGTGGCACACGGAGCCATATCAGTGGGCACACGAGCGTTGCCGTAGCTCAGCTCTAGCATGCATGCGTGCGCCGGCCAACTGATTTTTGGGCCTTCCGGTCCCACTGGAAGTTGGGAAATGGGCTGTTTCCAGCCTCTGGAGGGCTTTCAGGGGGGGGAGGCCGTTTTTACCCTCCCCAGGCTTCTAGAAAGACTCTGGAGCCTGGGGAGGGTGAAAAATGGGCCTACTAGGCCCAATGTGCCATCACGTGCTAAAAGAGGGGGCGCGGGGCATGCGGCATTGAATTATGGGTGTGGGCATTGGCCCGCTTTTGGCCCGTGATGGCAAAAAGGTTAGCCATCACTGCCCTATACCATTTCAGACAAGTGGCTTTCCAGTTTCTTCTTAAATACCTCCAGTGATGGCAAAACCCACAACTTCTGAAGGAAGGAACTTCTGTCCCAATGGTTAATTGTCCTCGCTGTTAGGAATTTTCTCCTCAATTCCAGGTTGCTTCTCTCCTTGGTTAGTTTCCATCCATTGTTTCTTCCCTTGCCTTTTGCTGCTTTGGAGAATAATTTGATCCCATCTTCTTTGTGGCAGCCCCTCAAATCCTGGAACTCTGCTATCAGGTCCCCCCTAGTCCTTCTTTTCTCTAGACTGGCCATACCCAGTTCCTGCAACCGTTTTTCATATATACACCAGACCCTGATGGTGCAAAAATGCATCCCAACCCATCACAAAAATATTTGCTTCTCAACCAAATATAAAATGACGACATCTGCTGCATTCTGGCCATTCTGGTGTTAGTCATGGAGGCGGTGGAAGAGGGCTAATTCAGGTGGGCTTTCAGGAGCAGGTAGGGTGGCCTGTCTCTTGGATGCCCCCCCCCCTAAAAATCAGGCACATGCCAAGCAATGCTCTGAACATTGCAAGTAAGACATATGAGCTGAGGTGGCGCAGTGGTTAGAGTGCAGTACCGCAGCTACTTCAGCTGATTGCTAGTTCAGCAGATCAGCGGATCAAATCTCACCGGCTCAAGGTTGACTCAGCCTTCCATCCTTCCGAGGTGGGTAAAATGAGGACCCAGATTGTTGGAGGCAATATGCTGTTTAGTATGCTGTCGATTGTTGTAAACTGCCCAGAGTCCTTGGAGAGTGGGCGGATAGAAATATGACTAATAAATAAATAAATAAATTTCAGAAGCTTGAAAGCCCCAGGATGACCGATCTCTTGCAGGTTCTCCTATGAGTCTAATGTTTGCAATTTTTACATGATGAAACTGTCAGCGGATGCTAATTTGCTCTATGATGTCTCGATCTAATCCAGGCAGTCCTCGATTTACGACCACAACGGAAACCCAAAATTTCTGTTGCTAAGCCAGACAGGTGTTAAGTGAATTTTGCCCCATTTTACAATCTTCTTTGCCTCAGTTTTAACAACTTTAACAACTGCAGAATCGATGCAGCTGTTACACATTAGTAACACCGTTGTTAAGTGAATCTGGTTTCCCCATCAACTTTGCTTGTCGCAAAAAAGGGATTGTGTGACCCTCGGGACACTGCAACCGTCATAAATATGAGACAGTGGCCAAGCCTCTGAATTTTGATCCTGTGACCACAGGGATGCAGCAATGGTCGTAAATGTGAAAAACAGTCATGAGTCACTTTTTTCGATGTCATCATAAGGTCACTAAACGAACTGTCGTAAGTCGAGGATCAACTGTCAGAATAAGGCTTAAACACTGTGCTTGACAAAATAGAGCAAGCTTCTGGAGATACATGCGTACCAGCCTTTGTTGAAAGCATCATTTGTTGGTCAAATATTGTGGAAAGAGGAAAATACGGGGAGGATGGGGTCTCCTTGGTGCGATATAGAGGAAATAAAAATAAAAAATAGGATTTTATCCTCCTGCGGAGATCACTAGCAAGGAATCCTCCTTCTGCACATGTTTTCGTGCGATAAAGGAACCGAAGGAAAGAACTGGCGGCTATCAGGAGAAGAGCTGCTTTAGCGACAGCGCTGATTCTGACAGCCCCACAAGAGATAAATCAGTTCCCCAAAGTGCTGAATCTGAAGTCCAGGTTGAGCTCCCCAGAAGGGGGGGCCTCCTCCATGGCTGACGCCGCTCCACCAGGTGTTCCGCTACCTGGCCATGATCTCTGAGGAGATCCAAGGGAGACGGCCATGCATGTTCCTTGAGGGCCTCGAGTGGCACCTTCCTCCTCCACGGGTGGCGGGAGGTGGGCCAGTGCACCGTGGGCGCAATAAACGTAACGTAACCGTCACGACGAGACCCTTTTGTAACCGTGAGAGCTGTGGAACTGAAGGGTTGTTTTTCTTCCCACCAAATGTTCAGGACATGACTTGCACATGAGTTTGGATGAGCAGATGGTTTGGCGAGACATTGGTGGTTCGGACATTCCCGAGGCGTAACTGGTGGGTTCCTGTGCTGGTGTGCGTTGAGGGCTAGGTCTCTAACCTCTCCCACCCCCCCCTCATCCCCTCCCTTGAGGCTCAGTGGCTCCCGCCCGCTAAGAGACCGAGCCGGCCTCTTGTCTTGCAGACTACGTGAAGGAATCCGCCCACAGCTCCAGCTCCGCTTCCCTCAACAGCAGCGAAAACCCCTACGCCACCATCAGAGACCCCCCCATCCTGACCCGCAAAACGCCCGAGAACAGCTATGTGGAAATGAAGTCTCCTGCCCACCGGGACGCGTCGTATTTGGACATGCCAACCTCTTCGCCGGCTCACAAAAACATCTACGACGTTGGTAAGTCCCCGGAGAAGAGCAGCTGGAGAAGTTAGGGCAGGTAGTCCTCGACTTAACGACCACAATTGAGCCCACATTTCCGTTGCTCAGCGAGACGTATTAAATGAGGTTGTTTGTTTGTTTTTTTTAAATTTGATTTATATGCCGCCCTTCTCCGGAGACTCAGGGCGGCTTACAATGCGTTAAGCAACAGCCTTCATACTTTTGTATATTTATACAAAGTCAGCTTATTGCCCCCACAATCCGGGTCCTCATTTTACCTACCTCAGGAAGGATGGAAGGCTGAGTCAACCTTGAGCCTGGTGAGATTTGAACTTGCAGTAATTGCAGGCAGCTGATGTTAATAACAGTGCTTTAGTCTGCTGCGCTACCAGGGCTACCAAAATGGAGTTTTGCTCCATGTTTCAACTTTTCTTCCCATGGTGGCTAAGCAAAACGCTGCAGTTGTTATATTAGTAACGTTGTTAAGTGAATCTGGATTCCCCATGGACTTTGCTTGTCAGACGGTTGCAAAAGGGGATCACATGACCCCTGGGACAGTACGACCGTCATAAATACGAACCGGTTGTCAAGCTCCAAATGCAAATCACGTGACCATGGGGATGCTGCAACGGTCGTAAGTGTGAAAAAGAAGTCATTTTTTTTTCAGTGCTGCTGTAATTTCAGTCACTAAATGAATTGTAAGTCGAGGAGTACCTGTATTTAGTTTATTTCAGGGTAGACATGTCAGGGGTTGGGTATCTCTTGCCCCAGCAGACAAAATCTTGAATAAATGATGCTTCCTCTCTTTGGCGAGGAGACACAAATCAAATCGTATTCTTACGATTTCATAGACTCACAACAGAAGGAAGGTGGGATACAAACAATATATTTTTTTAAAAAAACCTAAAAAATAGTAAAACAAAAATTACACAAAATGAAGAAAACTTAACGTATTTTTCAGACTATAAGATGCACCTTTTTCCCCCCTAAAAGGGGATGAAAATTTGGGTGCGTCTTATACACCGAATGTAGCCCCTCCCACCCACTGCGCCCCACCCTTTGGCCTCTGCCTCCCAGCAATTTACCTCCTTGCAGCAAGCAGCAAGAAGAAACAGCTTGTTTCAGCTTCAACAGAGCCTAATTAGCACAAATTGATTGTCCCTTGGATCGGTCTCCCGACTCTCAGCTGTTTCAGGCTGCAGGGATTGCCATGGCCTATTGCTGCGAGGGTCTCTGCTGCTTGCTGCAAGGAGGTAAATTGCTGGAGCAGATTTTTATTTTCCCTTGTGCTAATCAAGCTATGCTGAAAACGAAAATGAAAGTAAAGGAGGCTGTTTGCTGTTTGCTGCAACGAGGCAAAATTGCACAGAGGCAGAGGGAGATTTCTTTTTCTTCTTTTCCTCACCAAAAAAGGTAGGAGCGTCTTATACTCTGAAAAATACGGTATGTGCAAAGCTGGTTTAATAAGTCTTCAGCTACTTAACACAGTATATAACACAGTCCGTATGGGAATAAAATGTCATGAATGGAATATGTCGATGAAAACTCAATCATGCAGGCCAAAAGCATCTTTAAAAAGGTTAAAATCGTGGCGACTGGAGCAGAGTTTGTTAATTTGAGACGTTTTGTTACTCATCCAAGTAACTTCATCAGTCAAAATTTAAAAAATAAATAGGCAGAGAGTCATTGGAATGTACCAACTCTTGCCACACCAACTGCAGGTGTTTCTCCCCAAAATGTATTGAAATATGTCAGTGAAAACTCAATCAGTTTTTAACCTTTTTTAGATCTCATTAATGACCTCTGGTCTGCCGATGCTGAGTCCAGGGTTGGGTTCTAAGTGGCTTTACTACCGGTTCTCTTTGTGTGCGCGCTTTGCACGCGATCGCCGTGCACATGCTCAGTTTGCTCGCCTGCGCACCAAACTTGCACTTTGCGCAAGTGCGTTGCGAATCTACCCAGCTGAGGTGCGGCAATCCGCTCTGCCGCACCTCTCAGCTGGGCGAAAAAAGAAGAAATTTAAGGTTGGCATAATGCCGGGGTGGGCAGGAGAGCCCAGCTCCCGAAGACAGAGAACCGGTTCGGTGACATCATATCGTCACTGCTACCGGCTCTTGCGAACCGGGCCGAACTGAGAGCAACCCACCACTGGCTGAGTCCCTGAGTTTTTATAATCAACCCCCTCCATGGCAGAAACAACACAATCAAAGCAACCAATTGACCGACTCTGGCTCCAATCATGGTCTCCAGCCCCATGGACATATCTTGAGGGTCTTTCAGAAAAACAAGGTGCGGGCTGATCATACACCTCCCCTCCAAGGAATGATGTTCCATAGAGAAGGGGCCACCGCTGAGAAGGTCCTTTTTCATGGTCCAACCCAACAGATGTATATGCCTAATTGATGGGACCCACAATATATCTCGCCTTCCCATCTTGGTGTAACAATCATGACTCTACAAGTTATCCAAATCCAGGTGGGCAACTTGTAGTTGTCACTCAGAGGTGTCTGAAGGGAGGAGGAAATGATAGGGGAATCTGTAGGGATGGGGGTTTGTCAAAAAGCCAAGATGGCTGCCACAACACCCCTTATTGCAAAAAATATGCTGTCAAGGTTTGACGGATGCCCTAATTAAATCATGAATCTTGAGCCAAGCTTCAAAAGACATCCAGTTATTTATTAGGAGCTTCACGTCGGCACATTTCAAGTGAAGACAACTCTGATCCCACATAATTTACGCCCCAAATCATGACCCTCCCCCCAGGGTGTGTCATCAATCACATTTGCCAAAGGAGCAATTTCGCAGATTGTAGAGATCCCTCTCCTCCGGCTGCTGTGGGTAACCCTGGGAGACAGCCTTGAGAGAGATGTGTCTGGAATGTGCTCCTGTATTTGGCTTCTGTGTTGCTTCATTGATTTCCCATCCCCCTTGCCTATGGCAACTCGAGAGCAGGCCAGGGATGCTTAGCAAATTGACATATGCATTGCAATATATGTAAAACACTCTCATGTTTGTGAGTCCATCTTGACTTTTGACTCCTTTTCCTGTAAACTGCCCTATTGTCATCTCTTGTCCACCCGCTGGACATAAATGAAGGAATGATGCAAAATGGGGTCCCTCCACTAAAACATCTCCAGGTCTCCTGCTGGCTTGGAAGGAAGATCTGAAATGGGAATCTCAAGTGGTCCATCTTCTCTTTGGAAGTCAAACCATTCTTGAACTCCTGCTTCCTCATTCAATTCCTTCATAATGGTTATTGATACAGGCAGTCCTCAACTTAGGACAGTGTGTTTAGCGATCGTTCGAAGTCACAAGGGCACTGGAAAAAGCGACTTATGACCATTCTTCACGCTTATGACTGTTGCAGCATCCCCATGGTTCCATGTTCAAACTTCAGACGCTTGGCAACTGGTTCATATTTATGATGGTCTCAGTGTCCCGGGGTCACGTGATCCCCTTTTGTGACCTTCTGACCAGCAAACTCAATGGGGAAGCCAGATTCACTTAACAACCAGGTTACTAAATCAACAATTGCAGTGATTCACTTAACAACAGTAGCAAGAAAGATCATAACAAAGGGGCAAAGGTCACTTAACAACTCTCTCAATTTCTTAGCAACAGAAATTGTAGCCGTAAGTCGAGGACTACCTGTATAGAAGGACCAAAAGGTTGGGGATTTTTGAAATGGATTGTCTGCTATGTCATTTGAGAAGTGAGTCTCTGAGTCAGGGGTGTCAAACTCAAGGCCCGGGGGACGCATCTGGCCCACGGGGTGCTTAGATCTGGCCCGGGGGGCCACCCTGGAAACAGCGAAGCTCCTGAGCTCTGTTTTCGCTGGCAGAGGTTTGCAGGAGGCCGTCGCACCTGAAAATGGAGCTTGGGAGCCCATTTTCGCTGGCAGAGAGCTCAGGCCACCACAGGCACCCCAACATGAGTGACGTTGAACTGGCCACGCCCACCCTGGCCATGTCCCCCTATAGTCAAACACAACCCTGATGCGGCCCTCAATGAAATCAAGTTCGACACCCCTGCTCTGAGTTGTGTGAATGCTCTTCCAAAGATGCTTGACGATGGCCCAAATAACATCCAGTTTTTTATTAGGAGCTTCATGTTGGCATTTTCCAAGTGAAGCCAACTTTGACCCCACATAATTTACGCCCCAATCATGACCCTTCCCCCAGGATGTGTCATCAATCACATTCGCCAAAGGAGCAATTTCGCGGATTGTAGAGATCCCTCTCCTCCGGCCGCTATGGGTAACCCTGGGAGACAGCCTTGAGAGAGATGTGTCTGGAATGTGCTCCTGTATTTGGCTTCTGTGCTGCTTCATCAGTTTCCCACCCACCCCTTGCCTAGGGCAACTCGAGCTTGGGAGCCTGTTTTTGCTGGCAGAGTGCTCAGGCCACCACAGGCACCCCAACATGAGTGACGTTGAGCTGGCCACGCCCACCCTGGCCATGCCCCCCTATGGTCAAACACAACCCTGATGTGGCCCTCAATGAAATCAAGTTCGACACCCCTGCTCTGAGTTGTGTGATGCTCTTCCAAAGATGCTTGCCCGATGGCCCCCCCAAAAAACCCTTGTCTCTTTGTTGTTCTTTCCACAGAGCCCACGGTCAGCGTGGTACAAGAGATCCGTCTCCGCAATGCTGGTTACATCCAAAATCCATACGATCTTCCCAGAAACAGCCACATCCCCAGCCACTATGACATTGTCCCACTAAGACACAGCCCGACTCACGGGACACTCTGGGATAAGCCATCTTAAAGGGCCAGGCCACCCGGACATCCCAACTCAACCCAGCCTCCCCCAACCATGTGCCATGTGAGCATTGTTCTCGGACACAACAAAGACGACAATCTTTTTTCCGTTTTATCCTGCTGTATATGCGAGGAAAAGGAAGAGTACCCAAAGACAATTGTTGGGGCCCACTTGCTTCTGCATGAAAACTCTTTTATTATTTGACAAAAATAATTTTATACACGTTGCAGGAAAAGAAAAGAAAAAAACCCAAGAAAGCTCCTTTGAGTTCAACAGCAGAAAGACGACATCGGAAAGCCATTTATCTCCAAGGTCAACTCTGGACCATTTGTGCGATTTTTTGTTGTTGTTTTTTTTGCTTTAAAAAAAATGGAGGGGGACAGACGTGAGAAAATACCCTTTTGCTGCAAGTTCTTATAGCTGTATCTATACTATATTATCATCTGCTTAAAGAATTCTTCTTTTCTAAAAAAAATAAATAAAAGAGAGAGAGAGAGAGACATGACCTTCAGATATTGGGATAAGTTATGAAGCCTCCTGGGTAGTCCAGAAAGTACTTCTTCAAGGAACTCAAGAGATAAGGTGCTTTAGAAAATCACTGCCGCCATAACTTGGTACTCTTTCATTCTATACGGAGTGAAGGATTCAGTTCTTTTATGGCTGCAGAACTTCAGAAATTCTTCTTGGTCTACAGAGTTTATGGAAGGTTAAGTTCATAAGCGCTTTACTCTACTGAGCATGACGTCTTCTGCTCCTCGCCCACCCCGTGCATCCATTGATTGTTCCACCTTTAGGAGCTGGTCTCCATCCATCCATCTTCACGAGATGGGATTGAAAGATGCTAATCTGCAACCGAATCCGTGCCAGTCTGTTCTCAGGTGGCATCGGCAGTGTGTGGATTGGGACAAATCTCGAGATGCTTGTTTTCTCTGGCAATGGAATGAATAGGAGATGGGCTGGACGAAGCTAAAGCACAGGAGTCAAAAAGCAGCCAGGGACTCCTAATTACACTTTTGGGTCCTTCTGCTGATAAAGATGGCATGCTTGCGATGCACCAAGGATTAAGTCCATAAAAGATGTCCATCGATGGCCTTATCCAAACAAGCATGACAACTGTCTAAACCTGAATTGGACGCTGGTGGCATCCTTCATCAACGTGGTTTACTCTAGTAGAGATGGACTACAAGAACTTTCCTTGATCTTGGTGTTCTCCAGATGTGTAGACTTCCGTTCCCAGAACTCTTCAGCAATAGTCGTTGGCCAAAGAATTACGGAGATTCAATCCCTACATAAGAAGAGCTACCAAGTAAGAGAAGGCTGTATTTCATCATCCTCCTTCCCAGTCTCAGGATGACTGATGTCCGTGTTAAATGGAAGTGATGGAACCCAAAATTCGACACAGCTGGAAAACACAGACGAGGAATGTCTACAGACCGACCAGTTCAGGGATCTGAAGCAGAGATCCTTCCCAACCTTTCCTGAAGATGCCATGCATAGAACTTGAGAACTTGTGCATGCCAAGCAGATTTCAGCTGTGGAGCTATGCCTTTCCCTCAAATCATTCTATTATAACAAGATCAACTACACACCATTTCAAGATTGTTTCTGCATCATAGGTACCTTCTATCTGTTTGATTGCAGTCAAATTTCAGCTTGGTTATATGCTGGTGATTTGCGTGTAGATCTTCTTGGATATGATCTAATGTTGATAATTGTATAATCTTTTCATCCAACAAATGTTAATATAGTGAAAAAGATGCCTTTCACCAAGAAATGTCCATATACCATTAAGGCACAATTGAGTGGAATTTGTAAGAAAAAGGGAAATGAAAAAAAAAAGGCTTACTCAGACATGACAAAAGGTATCAGACCCGCTGTTCAGAAGCGTTTGCATCTGATCAGGATTCATTCGGGTGGATGAATCCAATTTATTTAATCAGAAATAAATTGGATAACACAACGCAGCTACTGACCGTATTATCAGCATCGCGAAGGAGGGGGGTCAATGAACCTTTTCAGGTGGGAGGTATTGCTTCTCATGTGATAATATGCAATTAGAAACAAAATATCGCTTACTGGATCTTCTCCATTCATGTCTGAAATCTCATGAGATCTTATTTAGGGATATAAGGATCTTGCTAGGTTTGGTGACTGTGTAAAATATAGAAGATAGAGTTCAAGGGGTCAGTGGATCTGTTGCAGACCCCAAATGGATAATCCATTGTATATATACACTAGTAGCAAGGTAACAGTTGTGAAGGCCACAGACTTGAATATTTTGTCAGTCAGATTTGCTGCCGATAGCATAGACTAGACTGTCATCTCCAGATGTGGGATTAAAAACCCCTAGATTTGGGTGTAACACCTGGGATGGCTGAGCATTGAAAATTCTTGGCTCGATGACCCCAAGATCTCTGACCCATTTGAAGGTAGCTTCCGCAGCTCCTGAAAAAGTTAGGATCAGAATTGCGGAGTAGGAAGAGACCACAAGGAACGTGTAGTCCAACCTTGTTCCCTGTTTTTATGGAAACAACTGCTTTGAACTTTCTTGAACATGATGCCAAGCCAGTTCATTCAACGAGAGGCATAGATGCCAGTTTGTCAACCATATCAACTTGCGGGGGATCTAAGAGGGCCATGTTTGCAGACAAAGAGATGCTCTCACATTAGCTGGAAGAGCTAGGGAACCGGCAAGGCTATAGAGGGGAAAGAATGGGGCAACACTTCTCATCAAACGGATGCAGAGATGGACCCATCTTCCCACACTCCATGTCCATCTGGAGAACCAAGAGCCCAGCATTGGAGTTCTGCTGTGGTTAGTAACAGGTATTGGAATATTGTAGGAGAGCCAAGTTAGTTTATGGTAAACTAATCAAGAGTCCGGCTCACCAATTTTATTCCAAAGCATAAGCTTGGAGTTTCAGCCAAAAGTTAGGCTTGCTAGTAATGTTAGGGTAATTGTATTGATAGGACAGGTAGGGAATCGAGGAGCTAAGAGCAGAAAACACCTTCCGCAGATGGCTCGCCTTGGACTGGCAGTAGAAGAATTTTAATCCAAACCATCTTCAGAACTAACACTGGTGTCACCTCCACTAGGTAGACCAGACCAGGAAACCCACTCTGCGGGAAGGCTACAAGTAATTTTTTTGAGGTTGGCTTTTAAGAACAGAAGTATTGCAAGTCTGATTGTGCTGCGCCTTCTCCTCCTTACAACTGCGGGGAATTAGGGAGGTGTCTGCTTGAGCGGTTTCTAAATATTATCTTGTTCCGGACTTTAAAACAAATGATTCAACCCCTTTTTGCCTATGCAAGAATTCCTGAGTGGGTCTATCAAGCTCACCTCGTTTCTGTCTACCATGGCAGAAGGAATGCTTGGAAACCGAGTAGTTTAGTGAAATTCAACGAAAGCCAAGGGGGGAGGACTTTTTGGGGAGGGATTGGTGGGAAAGGAAAGCCTAATTCCAAAGCGAAGCAAAGGTGGATTTCTGTACTGGTCAGCGGATGGAGCAAAAATGCACCCCGGTGAGATTTTTAGGAGAATGATTTTTTTTTTTCCACAGCAGAGGGGAAAAAAATGTAATTATTTACACGAATGCTGCATGTGTGCATGGGGAAAACTATGATCTATTGGCAATAGCTGTTTTACTTTCCAAGAGAGCCTTATCCAAAAATATATTTAAAAAGTAGAACTTTATTTTGTAGGACCTGTAGGGATATATATTTTAAATACATGTATAGGGGGAGGAGGGGAAATAAAAGTCTTACCTCAGTAATTAGCAAAGGGGGGAAAAATCCTCCATGAAGGCTTTTTTTTAGTTTCAATTGGGCAAATTCATAATTAAATTGACTTGGAAATTTAACATACCGACCTAAATAAAAGTCAGGAATATGGACTGCTGCACTTTTCAAGGAAGACATACCTGCAAGATACAAGAATGCCCAGGACCAATCTGGTCCTGATGGGAGGTATGGATGCAAAATATGGGTAATCTATAGAAGCTTATCCGGTTCGTAAAACGTATGCAAGTTTTCAGGTGAACGTTTTCTCCAGCAGGAGAAATGACGGCTGCAGATCCAGGGAATGTTTATGCTGCATTCGAGACTGCTGTACTATGTAACGGAGTGTCCTATGGCCAAAATAAAGGGGTAGAGAATACGTAGGAGAAAAAAAAAAAAAGGCACATTACATCCAGCAGGAGGCACTGAAAAGCAGACCCGTTCCTTTAAAGGAGAATACAAACGTTGTAATGGCAATACTTTTTTTAAAGCAAGACGTATTTGTAATATTTGTTGACCAAACAAAAGGTAATACACCTTGTTAAAAAAATAAACTGAATTTCTCTCTGTTGCATCTTTTTTTCCCCCCTACGGTTATTTCCAAGCCTTGGGTACGCTGATCAGTGTAAAGTGCTAATTGTTTTAAAATAAAAATGTGGCAAGTCAGAATAACAGAGTTGGAAGGGACATTGGAGGTATTCTACTCCAGGGGTCTCCAACCTTGGCAACTTTACGACTTGTGGACTTCAACTCCCAGAATTCCTCAGCCAGCATTACTGCCAGTGGTCATCAGGTTTTGCTTCTGGAAAAATTTGGAGGCCAAAAAGGGGAGTTTGTGACCATGTAATTTTTGGGGCTCCAACTCCCCTGAATCTGCTTTTAATCCTCTCAGCATGCTATGAGATAAAGGAAGTGGCTGATGGAGTTCTCCTGTTCGTCCAGAATGCTTTGTCCATCAAAAGCATCCAGGAAAATAAAAAAAAATATTTGGAGAACTGCTTTCTTCTCCCACGATGACAAAACACCCAAAGTTTAAAGCTCTGCAAAGAGAACACAATAAACTCTGCAAAGTGGAACCGTAAATGAGTCAGATTTGCATGTCAAGTTGATCTGCGTAATTTATTCACATGTTAATTCCAATCATCTTCCCGCAGGCTCAAGGGCACTCTTCCCTTTTTTAAAGTATCAAAGGCCCCTCAGAGTCTAAATTCCAAGTAAGTTCACTCCACAACCTCTGAACAATCCCCTGTGATTCTTTTATTAGAATTCCAAAAATGAATAATTTTAAATCAATCTTAAAAAATATTCAAAGTACAGAATGTGCATAACAGTATAAAGCAATTTACAAAAAAAAAAAAAAAAAAAGTGGGGGCTGGAAGGGAAAGAGCAAAAAAAAAAAGTGTGCAGAGAAATAATACTCCGGAGAAGGGGAAAAAAAACCAAAGGATGACCGGACTACAGCAATGCCCTCGGTGCGCCTTACACGTCATGAGCACTGCAAGACTGGCAGACGAACTGAGTGGAGTAGCTTTCAACGCAGCAGGAAGAACAGATCTGCGAGAAACTTCCTTCCTTCCCTTCCTTTCCTTTCCTTCCCTCCCTCCCTCCCTTCCCCCAATAAACCAGGGACTCTTTCCTCTTCAGTTGGGCTTCCCAAAGACTGCATAATTCTGTATGTGCTGGTGTGCACACCCCACCCCTCTTTTGAACAGTGCTGCCGACGAGCAGGCGGTGTGGGCTGCAAACCGAAACGGGAATGCCTAGGGGAATGAGATAAAGGAATGTCCTCCAGAAACCCAGAAGTGCTCAACCACTTGAGGAAGGCCTCCGGGGCTTCTTAGTGTGCAACTGAAGAGGTCCGAGGGCTTCCAGGCCAGGAACTGGGAGCCCCTGAGAAATTAAACCAGCTTAAGTTAAATCTTGGGCGGGTGATGGCGGTGTGTGAATGCACCAGTGCCAGTTTTGCTGACAATTCTCATTAAAATGCCTGGGTTTCTTAGGAGTTGCAACACCCACCTCCAAGCCTTCTCCATCACCTGTACATGTGCAACATGCAAAATGATCCCCCCCGGGGCCCATACTAGATCATGCGACACGCTAACTACTGCCATGACGAGCTACAGGGGCTAGCCAGAAGAGCCAGATGGCTCTTCCCTCTTAGGGTCAACTACGTGGCATCCAACATCCGGCAACAGATGTTGGGCCTGAGCCAGGTGGACTGCCATAATTTAATTCACACAGTGGTGTCGTCACCCAGATGATTGATCCCCTCCTTGCTTGCAAGGGGAGACGTCATCCATCTGTTCAGACTGAATAAAAACCCATCGAAAGGCTACACGCGTGTGGCCTCCACAAAGCCAATTCCAAACGTGAGACCACAGGACCAAGCTGCCCAGGGAGGGACCGGAGGCCCTGCTCATGATGCTAATCCATTAGGCCATTAGATGTTCACAGAGGTGATCCCTGATCCAAACAGGATCACAACTCTGGTCAGAAAGTAAGTCAACCCAACAAACAATTTGCATTTGACCTTGGGGAAATTGCCAAGGGCCCAGAGGGGAAACTGCCAAGGGCCCAGGCCATCAACTGCCCACTGAATGAAAGAATGGCTTTCTCAACCTGGCTTTCCAGACCCATTTTTCTACACCTCCCATTATCTCGGGCCAGTGGTGGGGCCAAAAGGGATGATGGGAGCTGTAGTGTGCAGGGCACCGGGATGCGAAAAGCCGAGAGAGACGGCATCTAACACTGAGGCCAGAGTGGACACAAGGGAGTTTATCAAATCATGCCATGGTGTTGATAGGAGTGTCTGAGTGGTTAACGTTGGATAGAACCCATCTCTGCTGCTTCCTGAGGGGAGTCAGGCAGGCAGGCGATCCACTGTGATGGTTAACCAGGTTTGCCTTGCAGGACACTAGCATTCCGATGATGCTGCAGCCTCGTGTGAAAAAGAGATGAGTCACAGAACTGAGGTTGAAGACAAGGAGAAACGGTGACGAAATGAGGGAACGGAGAGAAGAGGAGAATTAAAAACTAAAGACAAAATGTAATTGAAAGAAAAAGGGGGAGAGAGTGGAGAACAAGAGAAAAAAAAGTAATGTCAGCTCGAGCTCTACTTCCATTCAGATCTGGGGGGAATATACACAGCTTTCCAGGAGTTGAACGTGTTATATATTTTGACAACACTGCATCTTTGGTTTGTTTTCCGTGGTTGGAGGAACGTGGATCGGGACCACGTTGTTGCTTGGAGACATGTCGTTCTCGCGTCTGTCTGACATCTGTTTCTGCGACACAATGCGGTAAATCTCTGAAAGAGAGAAGCTGTTGGTGAGCAGGGAGGAAGAAGAGGGCCCTGGGCTGATGCCTCCATTCCAGAATTCACCCTCCTCCTTTCTTGCACCAGCCATACAGTAAAGTCACACTTATAGGCAGAATGGGATAACTCGCCACGGCCAACTTGCCACGGGGACAATTCAACAATTCAAGTGAATTATCTAAAATAATTTTAAGTTTTGTCATTCATATTTTGGCATCCTTTCTTTAATGACTCTATTTAACTATTTGTTCGATATTATTGTAACTCTTGTTTTGCTGTGAGTTGTTCCACAGCGAGTTGGCCACAGCGTGGTGAGTTGTCCTAGACCCCTTACAGGAGGGGTTAGCTTGTGAACATCTACTGAGTTTCGTCCTTTCTAAGCTTCACAGCTTCTCTTGCTAGATAAATTCTGGTAGTCTTCAACTCACAACCATTTCTTTAGTGACTGTTCAAAGTTACAATGGCACTGAAAAAAACTGACTGGCAATTACACTTATAATCGTTGCAGCATTCCCAACAGTCACCCCATTCAAATCCCGGCCCTTGGCAACTGACGTGCACTTATGGCCATTGCAACCTTCCCATAATCACTATCTGCCACCTTCCAAGTTAGCTTCTGGCAAGCAGTCAATGGCAGAACCCAAATTTGCTCAACGACCTCATGATTCACTTAACAACCACACAATTCACTGCAGTGATCTGCTTAACAACAGGGGCAAAAAAAGGTAATAAAGCAAGTCCCTTAATTTGGTTTTGCTTTGGTCCCAATTGCAGTCATAAGTAGAGGACTACCTATATACATGTTCTTGTTTGGAGAATTTGAGGTCATCAGGCGTCTCTGATACTTTTTTTAAAAAAAATTGAGAACGTCATGTCGCTACCCCTCTTGCAAATCATATTTCCGCTAGCTAGCTACGTTTTGAACAGGTTCTTGTAAGGCACATAGATAACCTCAAAGAAAAATCAACCCATCAATAGATCAGCCAATCCATCTTCTGCCATTTTCCCCCTGGTCATTAGTTTAAGTCTGCTTTCCCCAACCTGGTGCTCTTAGATGGGCCAACACCAACCCTTGTGAGCCGTTGGACTTGAGTTGAAGGATCCGACATCTGGGTTTTAAGGATAGGCCTATTCCAGTTATCATTTTGATAGTTAACAATATTGAGCCCAGGGATCTATTTGAACGGACAATTAAATAGTTAAGAATAGTGTGTTCCGCCAGCTGGAATCAGAAATACGCCATTAAGAAGTTGGCAAAGCCCGCCTGTTACTGACCTCCAAGGCCAAGATGGAGACACTTACAGTTTTGGCCCCCAAAGGTTCTGACTTCCAACCCAGAACAACCAACATGAAATGACTCTTCCCAACTTGCAGGTCTTAGCAGTGCCACCTCCTAGGTCAGGGGTCTGCAACCTTAAATACTCAAAGAGCCATTTGGACCCGTTTCTCACAGAAAAGAAAACACCAGGAGCCACAAAACCTGGGTGGGCGTGGCCAACTCAATGTCACTCACTTCTCCCAGTCACATGACAAAACCCAGCCACGCCTACCCAGCCGGTCATTAGGGCAGAGAACCAGTTGTTAAAAAATACCGGGAACCACAAAATCCTTTTGACATATATCTCTCTCCCCCTCCCTCCCTCTCTCCCCCCTCTCTCTGTATCTGTCTGTCTCTGCCCGGGCTGCTTCTCCATCCCCCGCTGTCACCCTTACCTTCTCAGGCCAGGCGAGGAGTGACTGGGAGGGGAGGGTGAGGGGCGGGGCCAGTCAATGGTGGGATCACCTGACAGGGAGCCACAGCAGAGGGCCCAAAGAGCCGCATATGGCTCCGGAGCCGCAGGTTGCTGATCCCTGTCCTAGATCAACCTAGGGAGGTGCTCCAGACAAAAATACAACCAGATGGACTAATTCTGTTTTAAATCCAAGATTAACTCTAAGATTAAGATCAGATCATCCAATCAAGAAGCAAACAATACCCCAGTCAAGAACTCTCAAACCAAGTAAGAATAAACGGTCCAACCAACTGCCATTGAAGCAGTAGACCTGAGAACAAGGCCACGCCCATTAACAAACGCTACCGCTGATGATGTTACCTAATTGGGTAATGAGATGTCTGCACAAAAATATTCAAGCTCAGAGAGCACCCAGGAGCCCTAATTCTATTTTATTCTTTACCTTCACAGAATTTTGAAAGTACGTTTCTCCTTCCTTGCCTCTACAATTGATCGAATTAGGGAGGGACAGTGTGCCATGCCCCCTCCCCTTCTATGGCTAGGGCAGCCCTTATCCAACCTTGACTGGTTCTTGACCTTCTGTCTCCCAAGGTCTTTTCCACATACCATCACAGCAGGGGTGAAATGTAAAATTTGTTACTACCGGTTCTGTGGGCGTGGCTTGGTGGTAGTGGTGGGTTTAATGTGACTGGGTTGGTGTGGCCAACTTTTTTTTAAAAAAAAACTTTTCAAAGCATTTTTTCTAATGCTTTGAAAAGCCTCTCTGCCGATCAGAAACTCAGCTGGGATCGTCAGAGACTTTTCAAAGCATTTTTTTTACCACCTCTTCGGCCAAGAGGTTGCAGAAAAAAATGCTTTGAAAAGCCTCTATCGATCCCAGCTGAGCCGCGCAATCATCAGAGGTTTTTTTTTTAACTTTTAAAAGCATTTTTTTGTCGGAAGAGGTTGTAGAAAAAATGCTTTTAAAAGTAAAAAAAAAAGCCTCTGATGATTGCGCGGCTCAGCTGGGCATGGTGGGGGGGTGCAGGGATTTTTGCTACCAGTTCTCCGAACCACCCGCTGCCATCGCTACCAGATCGGACGATCCGGTCCGAACCGGGAGCATTTCACCCCTGCATCACAGTCTAAGAGCTTCGGTCACTTGGTCTTCCTAGATGTTTTGGGATTGTAGCGCTGAGAATTTGGGGATTTACTGGCCTCAGCAGATCTGGAGGGCAGCATTTGGAACAGGAGCTGAATCAAGAGCCAGGCGTTATGCTCCAATCAAGGGCGTGGAGAGCATTCGAGAGGGAGGATTGGCAAGGGGGCGGAATGGGGCCAGGCCAGAAATTTATTTATTATTTAGCGTATGGCATATCACACATGGACTAGCAATATATATTAACCTTTCTTACCTAAATTAGTAAAACACATTAAAAATAATGTTAAGATGATCTGTGTTTAACTACCAATGTCTAGGCCATCTAACCATCATTCACAGCCCGTCATGAGTCACAAAGAGTTTGTAAAGAGTCCGACAGAAGTCTGCCACAGTCCTTTGGGGTAAGGCTGATAAGCACCCACCTTTATCTCCCTTGACACGCTGCCAAAGGCCTAATTGGCAATTAGCTTTGCAAGGCCACACGGAGCACAGAGTCAAAACGGAGCTTCAGAATTTAAACCGACCAGAACGAACAAAGTTGCTTCCTGCAAAAGCTCACATGCCTTTGCTCCTCTTTTATGTCTTATGGCAGGGGCCAATCATCTCCAAGCCCTACTCCGGAGTCATCCCTTTTGTTTTAACTGTTCTTGCCTTCTGGCAGCTCTGTGCATGCGCGCACTGGGAACAGGCTCCCACTGTTCCTCTGCCTTGCTGATGTCCGACTCTGGAGGCACCACATAACTCCCAAATGGCCCTGGCCCCCTCTCTGCCTCCGATGCAGAGCCCTTATCCGAGCCTTCCCCAGACTCCAGGACTGGCCCATGGTCCTCCTCACTGTCTGACTCTGCTGCCAGCTCCGCAGGTTGCCAGCGGACCACAACACTAAGTGAGAAATTTCTTAAGTGAGTTTTGCCCTATTTTACGACTTTACTTGCCACCTTTGTTAAGTGAATCACTGCAGCTGTTAAGTTAGTAACACGGTTGTTAAGTGAACTTGGTTTCCCCATTGACTTTGCTGGAGACTGCAACCGTCATAAATGTGAGTCAGTTGCCAAGCGTCTTGAATTTTGATCAAGTGACCACGGGGATGTTGCAGTGGTCATGTGGGAAAGGGACTCATAAGTCCCTTTTTTCAGTGCCGTTGTAACTTCAAACGGTCACTAAAAACTGTTGCATGTAGGCCAGAAATGATTTCATACATATAATTTTATTTTTTTTAAAAAATCCCAGCGTCTTGATTATTCTGGTACTCTTCCATTCCCTTGACAATTACAATTTGATGGTAACCTCTACTGGTACTTGGCAGGAGGTACTCCCAAGATTTCCATGGGGCCTGTGCACCCTGGAACCACATCCTGCCCACTCTCAGGCTAGTCACGTGCCAGCCTGAAGACCTCAAATCAGCTCATGGGATTGATATGCCTGGAATTTCAGGAGCTGTAAACCCCAGACGAAAGCTGGTCTGGACTGAGTCCATTTCTTGGAATGCATAAGCCCTTCCTTGCTCAGCCCTGGCTTCCGTTGACCCAATGCCCTGGCAGAGAGTTCTTCCTGCTCATGGGGATTAAAACCTGTCCTGGGATGACTGGTTTTCACCTGAACTTAAATCCACTCCAAGCAGCGCTTCCAAATTCCAGAAGACCAGGTCTTTATCTCCTCTAAGCTGTTGTTTTATCAAGCAGAGATCCAGAGGCACTTCCTACCTCTTCTGACACGTAGTATTGCAAATGCTACCTTTGAGACTTGCTCTAATCCCCTTGGGGATAATTAGGATATCTGGTCTCTGGATTTTCAGGACATGCATTCCTGAAATAAATCAATCTTGTTGTTTCCTTTAAAGGAGGGTGAGGAGCAAAATGAGGTTCCAACAGGGTACAAGCCTTCTTTTTTCTCAACCAGAAGGAAGGAAAACTTTTACCCTTAATCCAGAAGACCGTTTCCCTAACCACTTAGCAACCAATTTGACAGCTGCAGTGATTCTCTTAACGAATGTGGCAAGAAAAGTCGTAAAGTGGGTGAAAATTCACTTAATGATTATCTTATTTAGCAACAGAAATTTTGGGATCAATTATGGTCGTTAACCCCTTCATGGAGCTCTGCCTTGTCGTGGCGAAGGGGCTTGCGTAGCTCAATGAAGGTATGAGCTATGCCATCCAGGGCCACCCAAGACGGACAGATCAAAGCAGAGAGTTCTGACAAAACGTGATCCACTGGAGAAGGAAATGGCAACCCACTCCAGTATCTTTGCCATGAAAACCCCATGAACAGTACCAAAAGGCAAAAAGATACGACGCTGGAAGATGAGCCCCTCAGGTCAGAAGGTGTCCAATATGTTTTGAGAAGGAAGGACTCACTGGAGAAGAGCCTAATGCTGGAAAAGACTGAGGGCAAAGAATGGAGGCCTTTGAACTCTGGTGCCAGAGAAGACTCCTGCGAGTCCCTTGGACTGCAAGGTGATCCAACCGGTCAGTTCTAGAGGAGATCAACCCTGACTGCTCTTTAGAAGGCCAGATCCTGAAGAGGAAACTCAAATCCTTTGGCCACTTTATGAGAAGGAAGGTCTCACTGGAGAAGAGCCTAATGCTGGGAACGATGGAGGGCAAAAGAAGGAGGGGATGGCAGAGAACAAGGTGGCTGGCTGGAGTCACTGAAGCAGTCGGCAGGAGCTTAAATGAATTCCAGAGGACAGGAAGACCTGGAGGAACGTGGTCCATGGGGTTGTGATGGGTCGGAAACGACTTCACAACTAACAACAAATGGTCATTAACTTAAGGACTATCTGTATTCTTCCAAAATAGATACGCCACAATTCAGCAGAAACAAAATCCAGAATATGTCTGTCCTTCCACTTGCCAACATCTGGAGGGATCCCAGAGTATAGGGCCACCACCCTGCCTGCTATCCCTTCTCTGCACGGCCAAGCTGTGACAATCCCCCCGTCCCCAAAGGACTGCCCCCAGGGTCACAGGAAAGCCTCCCATCCCTGGTTTTTTTTCCCCACTACTTCCTTCCACTGCTGTTCAGAATCGCCACGTTCGTCCCTGCCTGGCTCAATTCAGGCCCATCTTCTCCCAGGCCCAGCTGTTCCATTATTTATTGTTTTTTATTTAGAGAATTGATATGGCCATCCACTCGCTCTCAGTTATTCTGGGGGGACTTACAAAAAAAAAAAAAGAAATAATAATTTAACCATTTATTGGAATGGGTGTAGGTGGAATATTCAGGACTGGTGAATGGCGTGTCTTCAACCAGCCTGGCATTCCAGAGGCAAAGGTTAACTCTGCTTTCCAAGCTGAAACGAAGAAAGAAATACAGCATTGCCCTGCTTTTGAGGGTAGGAATAAAAGGAATAAAAGGCAGATATCCCTGGGTTCTTGGAGCACGCCAAGGCTATGAGACAGCTGGGGAAAGGAAGAAAGGAAGAAGAGCAGTTTACCAACAAAATATTCAACTTGGGGATAGGATGCGTCATTAAGATTTAAAACTTGCAAAACTGAGATTTTTCTTTTTATTTTGCGCACCTCTTTTCTATTTGTTGCGTTTTTCCTTCTTTTTGTCCTCTTTTCCTAGAGTAGGGCAATATTTTTTTAAAACAAAGACTGAGGTATGCACTTGAAATTCCGCTGTCAGCAAATTCTTTAGTGTCTTTTCTGCAGATCATTTACTGGTGGCATTAACTGCTCAAAAACGAAAGGCCCAGTTCAGTTCCAAAGAATTTCAAAAGAAAGGGAAGTCGTTTCTACCACGCTGCACGTATGAAGAGCAAAAGGCAGTGGAGCCTTCAGGCATAAGCCAGCTGTGCACTGAAAGGACTTTAAACATCACTTCCACGCCCGTTTTTCCTGGGACACAAATTCAACTTGCAGGATTCTCAAAACTTCATCAAACTACAAACACGTCAGGTGTGAAAGCTAGTCTCTCTGTTGTTTGCTTGCTTTGGGTGTGTGCCTGATGGAACTGACAGACCTTCCTCCTTGCTGCTGAGATGGGTAACCAGGGTATTAGCAATGGCAATTTTAAAAAATTGGGGACCTTCAGGTGGGAACCACCTGCTTTTCTGTACATAGATTGTAACAGAACATATACGATACTGTACGTGCATCGTGCCCCCTTTTTATAAACTTTTCTGGCCATCCAGATGAATTCCATTTAGTTTGTTGATTTGCAGATGCACACACCCCCCCCCGGTTATTACCCATGATGCACTAGCATTTTGCCAGGGGGCAGATGGAACACTTCGAGAGGCAATGATGGGATGGCAGCTAACCTGGTTTACCTATTTCTCTTCTATTGTTTGGGCACTACATTTTCATGGAGGAGCTCACAAGTTAGAATGCTGGGCTGATGATCAGCAGGCTCGGGTTTGAGTCCTGTTACTGCTGCAGGACAGGGTGAGCTCCTGTCACACGCTCCAGCTCCTGCCAACCCAGCAGTTCGAAAGCGGGAGACCGTGAGTAGATTAATGGGTACCCCTTCAGTGGGAAACTTCACGGGGACATGAAAGGAGCCCCTGAATAGGTGTTCCCCAAGCGACAGTGATGTCATCAGCAAATTCTTTTGCCACAGAAGCACTTTGGTGCGTTTGACATGGGGAAAAAATTAGTTTTATGACATAAAATATTAGCCATTATCTGGACATTTTGGTTTTGTCGCAATTTCATTCCTTCTTTCAGAGGGAACCACAGCAGCAATAAGTGATGGAGAATGGCAAGAGGAAAACAGAATTTTTCCCAAATTCAGGAAGGATCCTTCAATCCTGAGGCTGCTCCTTCAACCCAAGCGCTATAGCCACTTTTGAAGGCCCAAGTCAGCCACTCAGACCCTTTTTAAGAGCTTGAGGGACAAGGACAACTCTACATGGCCTCTAAGGCCCCACTCACCAGTCAAGATGGTCTGGAAAGCAGCTTCCACGTTTGTCGAGTCCAAAGCAGAGGTTTCGATAAACGACAGGCCGTTCTTTTCTGCGGGAAAGAAGACAGGCTGGTCAGGGGGTTGGCCTGGGAGAGCCTCGTGACCTCAGGAAGCGGCAAGTATGTGAATTTAGTAAAATGAAAAAGTAATTGAAAAGACAGTAAAAATCGGGACTGCTCAAATATCACTTTGGAAAATACAAAACTGAAAATGAATACAACAATAGAGAGAGAATGGAGAGGGATAGAAGAGAGGAGAGATGGAGAGAGAGAAGGAAAGAAGAAAGGGAAAAGGAGAGGAAGAGAGAGAGAGCAGGGAAACGAGTAGGAGAGAAAGTTAGAAGGGAGGAAGAAAGGTGTGGGGGAAAGGAAGGAGAGAAGGAGAAGGAGAGGAGGAAAGAAGAAAGTAGAAGAGTAGATGGGAGAAGGGAGGGAAAGGAAAAAGAGGAGAGGGAGAAGGAGGATTGTTGTAAACCAAGGGAGATGAATATACTTAATATATTAAGTATCTTCATCTATATTCAGCAAACCTGAATATACTTAAATTGTTTAGGATGAAGATTGTATTAGTATGAAAGCTAAAAGAAAATATAGTATGTTAGATAAGAAACTGTACATTTAAGATATGTTTATGAGAAAAAAATAAAAAACTTTTTCAAAAAAAAAAAAGGGAAGTGGCAAGTGGAGGACAAAACGGACACCTGGCTTTCTCAGTTGTCCATCACAGCTGGAGAACCAAAACACTTCGGCTTATGCATTTACCAGCTATTGTGTCTCACTGGAAATCGTGTCATTGGAGTTGAGATCTGACTCCACTACCTGTCAGCACTCCAAACTACATTCGTTCCAGTGCTGACATAAGGAGGAGAAGAGGGGGCAGCTGGCAAGAGGACGCTTGACTTTTCACCTACTTATTTTCCCTGAAGATAATATCCCCTAGGAGATGGGATGGGAGGGGGGACATTCCTGGGAGCTGAAGTAGTAGATATGGGGAGAGTGATTTGGAAGATGGCCAATGAGACGCAAAGAATTGGGGAACAGAAAGGGAAGGTTTGGGGTCAGGAAGTCAGTGTTGGCTACGATGTAGTCGAATCTGACCGGCTCAAGGTTGACTACTACTGCTTCCAAGGTCGGTTAAATGAGGACCCAGATTGTTGGGGGCAAGAGGCTGACTCTAAACTGCTTAGAGAGGGCTGTGAAGCACTGTGAAGCGGTATAGAAGCCTAAGTGATATGGCTATTAAGATTAACAATTAAAAAGAAGGTTAAAATCAAGAATGCAGGGCTGGGCTTTTTGTTGTGCTTAATAAATGAAAGTTTTCATCAAAGACTATTTGTTTGGAAATGCAATTTATTTGAGACGACACCGAAACCTGACACCACCCTTCTGGCTTTACGGAAGGGCCTTGGGGACCCGATGAGGGCACGCTATGCTGGAGGTAGCTGACTGAGTGAGAGACAAAAAGCCCAGCCCTGCATTCTTGATTTTAACCTTCTTTTTAATTGTTAATCTTAATAGCCATATCACTTAGGCTTCTATACCGCTTCACAGTGCTTCACAGCCCTCTCTAAGCAGTTTAGAGTCAGCCTATGGCCCCCAACAATCTGGGTCCTCATTTAACCGACCTTGGAAGCAGTAGTAGTCAACCTTGAGCCGGTCAGATTCGAACTGCTGGCAGTCAGCAGTTAGCCTGTAATATTGCATTCTAACTACTACTGCTATAGAATAGAATAGAATAGAATAGAATAGAATAGAATAGAATAGAATGAATAGAATAGAATAGAATAGAATAGAATAGAATAGAATAGCATTAGAATAGCATAGAATAGCAATAGCATAGCATAGGAATTAGAAATAATAGAAATAGCACTTAAGACTTATATACCACTTCACATTGCTTTCCAGCCGTCTCTAAGCGGTTTACAGAGTCAGCCTCTTGCCCCCAACAATCTGGGTCCTCATTTTACCCCCCCTCGGAAGGATGGAAGGCTGAGGCAACCTTGAGCCTGTGAGATTCGAACTGCCAAACTGCAGGCAGCCGGCAGTCAGCAGAAGTAGCCTGCAGTACTGCCCTCTAACCACTGCGCCACCACAGCTCTTGATGCTTTTAATGTTTTTATATTTATGCTTTTATACTACTGCAACCCACTCAAGAGTCCCGTGGAACAGTGAGATGGGCAGCATATTTAACACAGATATATGGATAGTCCTCGACTTACAACTGCTCATTTAGTGACCGTTCAAAACTACAACAGCACTGAAAAAGTGATTTATGACTTCTTCACACTTACGACCCTTGTTGCATCCCCATGGTCACGGGATCAAAGTTCAGACGCTTGGCAACTGATTCATACTTATGACGATTGCAGTGTCTTGGGGTCAAGTGATCCCCTTTTGTGACTTCCTGAGAAGCAAAGTCAACGGGGAAGGCAGATTCACTTGACAACTGTGTTACTCACTTAAGAACTGCAGGGACTCACTTAACAACCGTGGCAAGGAAGGTCGTAAAATGGGGCAAAACTCACTTAACATCTGTCTCACTCAGCAACAGAAATTTTTGGGTCAATTGTGGCTGTAAGTTGAGGACTACCTGTATATAGATATAAATAGATATAAAGTTGATATATATCGAGATAGAGGTAGATAGACATAAGGGCAGTCTTCCGAAATTTGAGGGGCTGTCACAGAGAAGAGGGGGTTGACTTGTTCTCCAAAGCACCAACATGCAGGAGAAGTAATGAGAAAGTTGTTCAACAGAGACCCCATCTAGAATTAAGGAGAAATTTCCTGATAGTAGGAACAATTAACCAACAGAACAGTTTTCCTCCTGGAGGTGTGGATGATGCGCCATCACTGGAGGTTTTCAAAACAAGATTGGACAACCATTTGTCCAGGATGGTATAAGGCAGGGGTGTCAAACTCAAGGCCCGGGGGCCGGATCTGGCCCATGGGGTGCTTAGATCTTGTTCTGTCCCCGTCTCACACACGCACACCAGCAGTCGACCAAGAGTTAAAATAAACCAGCAGACAAGAATTTCCTTTGATAACAGAATTGGCAGCAACCCAGTGGCACCTTGCCAACAGTTTTTTACTTACAAAGGGAGGTTTATCTCCTCCGACTGAAAACATCAAAGTCCACAAAAGCCAAAGAATAGTCAAGTCCAGTCCAAAAAATCAGTCCAAGCAGAGCATATAACAAAGTTCCAGAAATGCAGAATGACTTGCTAGCTTTCAGTTTTGTCCATCACAAAGCCTGAATGGCCACCACACCCCCTTTTATCCCTTGTGGGGTGTGGTCCAGTGACTCAGCTTAATCTCTGGCACGCCTCCTTCTCTGCTGCGTGCGTGTGTCTTTCTGACGCTGTCGGGGATCCAGCCAAGACTTATCTCTATCGCTGTCTAACTGCGGCTGCTCGGAAATGCCTGGCTCCTGGCCTATCTCTTCTCCTTCAGAAGACACCTGAGGCATTGCCAGAGAGGAGGGTCCTGGAGAGGGAGGCCTTGCCAACTCCTCTCCTTCACTTTTGGAGTCTTCTCCCTCCGATAAGACGGGCTCGGGGGTCGGAGTCACAACAGATCTGGCCTGTGGGGCCAATCTGCAAACAGGGAAGGACCAGCCCATGGTACCTCTGCCAGTGAAAACGGAGCACGCAGACTTCCCGAGTTCCATTTGTGCTGGCAGAGGGTTGGAGGAGGCCATCACGGCTGAAAACAGAGCTCATGAGGGCCATGTGGGGCTCTCCTGAGCTCCATTTTCACTGGCACAGGGTTGCAGGAGGCTGTCGCAGTCGTAAAGAGAGCTTGGGAGCCCATTTTCACTGGCAGAGCACTCAGGCTGCCAAGGGCACCCCTGACATGAGTGAGTTCGAGCTGGCTATGGCCATGCTGGCCATGCCCCCTCCCCCCAGCCCTCCCAAGGTCAAACACAACCCTGATGTGGCCCTCAATGAAATTGAGTTTGACACCCCTGGTATAAGGTCTCCTGCTTTGGGCAAGGAGTTAATACTAGGAGACCTTTAAGGTCCCATCCAACCCTTTGAGTCTATAAGCCTGTAGAGATTCTCAGCCATCCAAGTCCTGGTTGTCCCAAAGGTGCTTTTTCAGGGGGCAACTGGACCTCTTCTTTTTTTTTCTTTTGAAGATGTTTCGTTTCTCATCCAAGAAGCTTCTTCAGCTCTGACTTGGATGGTGGGGAATGGAAGGATTTATATTCCTTGCAGACAGCTGGTCCTTTGCATCCTTTTAGAGGGTCCTTGAGGCCACTTGGAGGTTTGTCTGTGTCCTCAGGGTCACTTGAGTAGTGCAAATGGTTCCTGTAGTCTGCAATTATTTTCCCGCTGGAAATCCATTCCTACTCCCACATCATTCAAAGGGTCTCCATCCCAAATTGTATACTAAAAGCCTGTAGAGCAATGCTTCTCAACCTTGGTAGCTTGAAGATGGGTGGACTTCAACTCCCAGAATCCCCCAGCCAGCAACGCTGGCTGGGGGATTCTGGGAGTTGAAGTCCACCCATCTTCAAGCTTCCAAGGTTGAGAAACACTGCTGTAGAGATTCTCAGTCATCCAGATCATGGTTGTCCCAAAGGTGCTTTTTCAGGGGGCAACTGGACCTCTTCTTTTTTTTTCTTTTGAAGACCATTCCCCATTATCCTGTCAGAGCTGAAGAAGCTTCTTGGATGAGAAGCGGAACATCTTCAAAAGGGGGGAAAAAAACCCTTATGAGTCGAAGTTTCTATTCTTCTCCACGCCCTTCTTAACCAACCGGTCCGTGCCAGCATATTTTTACAGTGCTGTGTTTGCATAAGGAGACATACGAAGTTTCCCTTTGTTGAACCAAGAACCAGGTGACTTCACCTCTTCTTTTTTTCCTTTCCAACAACCAGATTGGGGGGTTGTGGCATTATGCAATCTAAACTAGAAACTATTAACACTAGGGTGGGGTTCCGATAAGGGAAACATTTAAAGATCAGGCAAAACGAGGTTATATCAATGCTAACAAGCTGCGGTGGAGCAGTGGTTAGAGCGCAGTACTGCAGGCTACAGTAGGCTGCCTGCAGTTTGGCAGTTTGAATCTCACCAGGCTCCAGGTTGCCTCAGCCTTCCGTCCTTCCGAGGTGGGTAAAATGAGGACCCAGATTGTTGGGGGGCAATAGGCTGACTCTGTAAACCACTTAGAGAGGGTTGTAAAGCACTGTGAAGAGGTATGCAAGTCTAAGGGCTATTGCTATCTGTCTGTCTGTCTCTCTATAACTATCTGTCTGTCTGTCTATCTATCTATCTATCATCTACCTACCTACCTACCTACCTAACATCTATCATCTATCATCTACCTACCTACCTACCTACCTACCTACCTACCTACCTACCTACCTACTGTGGTGGCACAGTGGTTAGAGGGCAGTATGGCAGCCTAATTCTGCCCACTGCCATCAGTTCAATCCTGACCAGCTCCAGGTTGCCTCAGCCTTCCGTCCTTCCGAGGTGGGTAAAATGAGGACCCAGATTGTTGGGGGCAAGAGGCTGACTCTTTAAACCACTTAGAGAGGGGTGGAAAGCACTGTGAAGCGGTATATAAATCTAAGTGCTATTGCTAGAAGGATAATTTTGAAAAAAGTTATAAAACGTAAAACTGTTCAAATTGTATAATTAAAGCTAAGTATCATATTGAGAGACAATGGCAAAATGCATTCAATTATTTTATAGTATAAAAAAGGTTTCTGTCTCAGAGCTTAAAGGCTAACATTAAGATCTCCAGTGCACAGGGTGGATAAAAATCAATGATTTTTTTTAAAAAAATAATTTTTGAGGAAAATATATTACCATCCAAAGGTTATTCCATCATGAAATAAAGATTAGTTTTTTAATTATGTAGAATAAGGCTGTATATGTTTAATTTTTTTGGTAAATAAATTCCATTAATCCATTCACAATGTCATGCTCTTCCAGAGGTTTTTGTAAGATTATTGGGCAGTTTCTCTGCCTACAAGATATTATCACAGATGCTTGGTTTACTTTTGCAGATTATGAACAAAGAAGAAGAAGAAGATGAAGATGACGAGTGAGCTATAGAGGACAGTATTTAAGTTTTTCATATGTAGGCTGGGCTGACAGTCTAAGTTTCTTAAAATATATATATATTGTTTAGCCAAATTAGTTAACAAACATGGATGTTTGTTTAAGCAAATAACATATGCTGTAATGTTATTGTTTCAGTTGAATAAATCTATTTAAATTGTTATTATTAAGGTAATGATTATTTTTCTCCTTCCTAAGTACAACAGAAAAGTTGTCCAAATATGAATGATTAACCTATTAAACTGGGGATAAAAAAACTAATATGAAAAGTCGTTATTCTAAAAATCTTCATCTACTTGCATATTAAAGTTATACCAGCAAGAAATAGTCTTTATGTAGAAAACTATGATTTAAATCAAGCCTTACTGACTAGTGATTTAAATTGTGATTTAAATCAGTTTGATTTAAATTAAATCCACCCTGCCAGTGCATTGCTATTTATTATTTAATAACTGTTAAAAAAAAGAAAATAAAACCAAATCTGGGGGGGGGGGGAGAAACTACCGTACTTGGAAAAGTAGGTAGGCTTTTTTGATTTCTAACTTCCTCCTTTTTATTCAACTAATTTGCAGTTATGTGTAAACTTTTAGGAACCACACTGCGTTTGGATATTTCTTTTTTTCAAGGGATTTATGGAACAAATTTGGGAGAGGAGAACAGTAACCCTTTCCTTCTGGCTGGCCCAAGGCTTAGAATGAGGAGGTGTTGCTTGAAAACCATACAGGTAGTCCTTGACTTACGACAATGGAGCCCAACGTTTCTGTTGCTAAGCGAGACAGTTGTTAAGTGAGCTTTGCCCCATTTTACAACCTTTCTTGCCAGTGAAACACTTCAGTTGTTAATGGTTATAAGAGTGGAAAACGGTCATAAGTCACTTTTTTCAGTGCCAGATAGTAAGTATAGTTCACACCTTTAAAAAAAAAAAAAAAAAAGCTTCTTTCATCAAAAGGGCAAGGATGTTATTAAAATTATGGGGAAAAAATAGGAGTGAACGTCAAACTGGTTTAAAGGCAACCTTTTTTCACTGTACAACTTCTCGTTTTCCCTTCCTGAACGATTAGCAAAGTATCCTGTGCACAGACAGGATGGGATTTTGCAATCCCCCGAAAACAACATTTTTGGTGCAGGAGGCTGTGTGGGGAATTGAGGAAGGGGGAGGCAGCCCATTTCTCTAACACAAAATCCAATTGCCAGCATTTTCCTCCTTCTCTCTCTTCCCCCCCCCTCCCCTAATCAGAAATCTTCTCTTGACTGCAAGGGGGATATAAATCAAGCCTTTTTAATCATGATTAGTGCAAAGGGCCCAATGCCGCATTCCAGAGTGAAATAAACCCAAGTCTGAAACTCAGATTTATTCCCATGAGGTCAGGACACACGGCTCCATAGTTTAATTGCTCCTGCCCTTCAGGGTGGAGGAAAAAGTACAGACTCTTGTTTAATTTTTTTTAAAAAGCGTAGCCACTGTTTAGCTGATTGGCACTCCCGTTGATGGGATTGATAGGTCACTAAAATATAATTCTCGTTGACAAATATGCAGAGGAAAGCAGTTCCAGGCACCAGCAATTTTGCTGGATAGACTATCAGGAAAGTCAGGAGAAGATAAGAGGGATGGGGGGGAGTGAAAGATGTGCTGAAGTATTTGAGGGGGTGCCACAAAGAGGAGGAGGGAGTTAACCTATTTTCCATAGCATCTGAAGGCCAGAGAAGTGGTGACGGATGGAAACTAATCAAGGAGAGAAGCTACCTAGAACTAAGGATACATTTCCTGACAGTGAGAATAATTAACCAGTGGAACAGCTTGCCACAAGAAGTTGTGGGTGGCTCCATCACTAGAGGCTTTTAAGAAGAGACTGGACAGCCATTTCTCCGCAATGGTTTAGGGCAGGGGTCAGCAACCCGCAGCTCTGGAGCCGCATGTGGCTCTTTCATCCCTCCCTCTCGCTGCTGCTCCCTGTTGCTGGTCGGCTCCACAATTGATAGGGCTTTTGGTTAGGACAGGTAGAGAAAAAAGGATGGGAAAGAGACTCTATGGTGGGGGAACTGGACTTCTGGTCTGCTCCAGAATTGAATGGGGGGCTTCCAGTTAGGAACTTTGTGGCTCTTTAAGTGTATAAAGTTGCCGGCCCCTGGTTTAGGGTCTCCTGCATAAGCAGAGGGTTCGACTAGAAGACCTCCAAGGACCCTTCCAACTCTGTTATTCTGTTGTTAACCAAAGCAAGCTGGAAAGAGAAAGACGAATCAAGGCTAAATACTGCTAAATACAGAGCAAGACCACTGACTATTTCGACAGGGAGTCCTCATTTTATGAACGATCACTTAGTGACAATTCAAAGTTACAACTACCCCCCCCCAAAAAAAACTATTTACGACTTGGTTCCAGAGTTGGGACAACTGGACACATCTTTGCAGTCACATGACTGCATTTTGGGCACTTGGCAATCAGCTCACTTGTACAGCCAGTTGTAGCATTGCATGGTCGTATGACTGAGATTGACGTTTTTTGCCAGTTTCCTGCATTTTAGTAGGTTTACGGCAAAAAACACAGTACATGGATTAATTTAAGTATCACGGCGTTTGCTTAATGGCTGCCATGTTCACTTAACAAGTGCTGCACAAAAAGTCATAAAATCAGATCTGGTCCCATGGGCACCTCGATGTACGACCCATCCTGACTTAAGTCATAAAATCAGATCTGGTCCCATGGGCACCCGATGTACGACCATCCTGACTTAAGTCATAAAATCAGATCTGGTCCCATGGGTGCCTCGATATACGACCATCCTGACTTACAGAAACTCCGGGCTCCATTATGGCGGTAAATGCAGGACTATTTCTACCAGCAGTTCTCCTATTTTTGAGCCCTGCAAACAGTTTCGGCCATGAACATGCCACAAATTAAACACACAGAACAGGACTCCAAGGATCACCTTCACCACTGAGCCATGACCTCTCCCGTCCTCGTAAAGGAAAGGACTACAAACAACTTTTTAAAAAGAATAAACAAGGAAACAGAGGAAGGAAATGTCCTTTCGGCTGAACAGGATTCAGAGAGAAGCCGAGATGGGGAATCAGTAACTAAGCAGAGATTTAGAAATAAGGGCACTGAGATGCCTTAAGCACATCTAAGAATAATGTGCAATAAAACAAACAAATAAAAAAAGATTTCGCAGCCTTTTTTTGTTGCGTCAGGCTGACCCAGGAGTGAGTGAAAAATCTCAGTCAGGTCTTAATGTCAGCAAGCACAAAGTGAATTAAATTTCAGCTTAGAAGAGGCTTCACAGGAAACTGAAAAGGAATGATATCAAGCGAGGCACTACAGCTGTTGATTTTTCTAAAGTTTTTATGGATTATGGATTACAAATCCTCAAAATGGAATAATAAATGAAGCAAGCGCTCCTCAAGAGAGGGAAAATTTTAAAAATTTTAAAAATTAAAACAAGATATAATTTGCCTATATTTCTTTTCTTATTAAAAAAGGGACATAAGTAATTTATACAAATACGGGGAAAGAATCTATTTCAGCAGGAGCAAAGAAAAAAATAAACTGTATATTAATTAATTGAAATTAATTGTATATTCATGCCCAGCTAAAACCAGAACTTGTACTGACTGACACTCACAGTAGATTTGTTGGTGGTGGACATTTATTTGGCTGGTGCCGAGACTTTTGGGTCCTGGGAATGTATGCCCCAAATTAGGATAAAGTACTGTTCTGTAAATGATTTATGGGGAGATTAATAAGATTTTTCTTGAGAAAATTGGTGTTTGTTTCTCCCCACAACTGGACAGAGCTTTTGAGAACAAAAGGTTAAAAATCGCTCAAGATAAATCACCCCTTTTTAAAAAAAAATAATGGACAATTTAGGGCTATTTGATATATGGAGAGAGAGAAATGGCTTGAATTGCCTGCGAGTACACACATTCTTAAGAAAGGTCTAGTTCTTGTTTAAGAATAGATATGATTGGATTTCAAAGAACTTGGCTTCTGAGGTTTCCAAAGTAGAGAGATTACAAAAGACTTTTTCAGATCATAATCCTGTGAGCCTGGTTTATAAAAGGAAAACTAGTTCTTTCACATGAAATGCAACAGAAAGAAGTAATAGTGGAGGACTGTAAAAAGAAATTTAAAAGAATTTCTTTGAATAAAAATTTAGATAAAAGCCCTGGTTTAAGTGTCATTGGGAATGGGTATGTGAAGTGTTTATTAGAGATTATTTTATACAATATAACAATGTGCTCCAAAAGAAGAGACAAGAGAAAACCCAAGCTATTTTGGAGGAGATAAAAGGGGAAAAAAAGAAATTCACAGATAAGCATTTCTTAACAGATTAAGCTATTACAATGACAGTTATCTATAACACAAAGAAAAATAGAAGTAAAAATGAAGTATGTGAAACAAAGGATTTTGAGTTTTCAAATAAACCAGGGAAGTGGCTGGCATTTAAATTTACAAAAGGAAAAAAGATACTCTATTAAAGGACAATGAGGCCATGAGAAAAGCATTTTATCAATATTATTTTAACTTGCACAAAGGAAGTGACATCACTTTAGAAAATATAGATGAATATCTAAAGAAACACAAGTTCCTGGGAATTCTGAGACAAATTATGAATGGACTTATAAAAATAAAGGAAGTTTCTGAAGCTATATAAAAGTTTAAACTGGGAAAGCTCCTGGACCAGATAGATTATTAGGTTTTATTACAAATGGTTTGAGGGTGAACTTTTACAAATAGAAATTACCGCGAACCAAGATAGAAAGCCTCCAGAGAGTTGAAAGGAGGCCAATATAGCACTAATACCTAAAAAGGGTCAAGATTTGACCTTAACAAGAAATTATAGACCAAAATCGTTATTTACTATATTAATGAAGTGGTATGTAAGTCTAAGTGCTATCGCTAATAATTACAAGTTATTCGCCACAATTCTAATTGATAAACTGAACATTTATATTTCCAAAATGTATTCATGAGGATCATTATGGATTTTTACCTAAAGGACACCAATAGAAATGTGTTGGCCTTTTTGGAATATTTGAAGCAACATCACAGTGGAAAAACAAGCTGCATTGATTTTCTTAGATGCAGAGAAGGCCTTTGACCATTCGAACGGGGCTTTGCTGTTCAAGATTTTGGAAGATATGAATTTCGGAGAATATTTTATAAAATGAGTAAAACTGATTTATGCTTCACAGAAACCACAAATAATTGTTAATGGAAGTCTAAAAAAACCATGTCAGATACAAAAAGGAACGAGACAAGGCTGCCCATTTGCCACTCTCGTTTATTCAATATTTCAAGAACCTGAATAGAAATATAAGGGAAGGACTATAAAAGAATGTGCAAGTAATTCTCAATTTATTACATATATGGAGCCTGCCCATCATGGTCATAAGCTGTAACAGTCATAAAGCAGGTGATTAATCTGATTTTACAACCTTATCTGTAGTGGTCATCGAGAAATGCCATGGGCTCGTTTTGCTAAAAACTAGAAATAAATGCCAATTTTTGGCAAAACTGTCATAAAACACAGTCATGTTACCATGGGATGCTGCATCCTGGCCACTAAGTGCCTCACCTGTGGTCACACGACTATGGATGGGGAACATCAGAACTGTACCCCTAGGAATGGCCATTGTAACTGTGAGCACCTCTAGGATGAGAAGGCTAAAATTTTTGGTTATAAATATATAAATGAGAAAATATATGACTGAAATTTACACTATACTTATAGTCTTAAAGAGAAGTTTTATAAAACGATGTATTGTTGGCACATGTCACCAGAGAAATTGTCTAGAGTAGACATGTCAAACATGCAGCCTGCGGGCTGGATACACCCCGCTATAGGCCGCGGAATTGGCCTGAGGGGCTGTTCCGTAGAGGGCAGGGGACTGGCCCTTGCTGCCCTGGGCCAGCCGACACCCACCCAGTCAGCCACGATGACCAGGCCACACCCACCCTAACTCACCAAGGGCAAACAAACTCCTGATGCGGCTAGGGACAGAATCCAGTTTGACATCCCTGGTCTAGAGCATGGGTCTCCAACCTTGGCAACTTTAAAACTTGTGGACTTCAGCTCCCAGAGTTCCTCAGCCAGCTAAGTCCACAAGTCTTAAGGTTGCCAAGGTTGGAGACCCATGCTCTAGAGTGTATAAAGTTCCTTCAAACATACACTGGAAATGGAAATGGAAAAGAGAGGAGGTTTTATCATGGTTGGTGGAAGTGTTAAAAAAAACAGAAAGTTCAAATATGTACATTAATGCAAAGGATTTTAAAGATTAATATACAATTGAAATCAGAGGCTTTTCTCAGGGTCTGATGGACAAACACTTGGAAAAAAAAGTCATGGGACGATACCTGCAGTGACATGAAAGATGGAAAGATTCAGCATTATCCACAACGGAGGAATGCTTGATGAAAACAATATGAATAATTGATTTATTGTTTTTTACTCAGAGAAAAGGCAATATCAGCATTCATTGTTGACTGGAAACCCCTTACAAACAGTACAGAGTTTTGGGCTTTTTAAGGAAATATAATTTTAAAAAAATAATTATAAGACTTTTTCCCATGGGAAAATGCCGTTGTTTTGAATTCTTTTAAAGCAAAACATAAAACGATGGGAAAGAACCAGAAGATTACAATTAAAGGAAAAGAACATTTAATTTGACTTACTAATACAGAATGGAGCAAAATAATTCAACATTAGATAATATTTGTAAATCATGGACCCAGAAGCTAATTTTAAGAAGGCCTGACATTATACATAGACTGTCTTTAAAAGATGTTACACTGGACCAACTAATGTCTTAATAATTGAAAGAGATACACAAATAAAAAACCTGGATAATTCTCCTACTGGATTTACAACACAGGCTGTTAAAACTCTGAAGAATTTATGAGAACAAAGAAAAAATGAAAGGAATTAGATATTATTCAAAGGGATTAAAGAGCAAGATTGTTAAAAGAAAAGGAAGACATATAAAGTTGGTTTATTTGATCAAGGTTAAAACAGACATTTGGTTACCTCTTAATGGACTTTTGCTGACCAGACTTTAAGGATTTGTTTATAGATAAGAGATAAGATATGAGAAGAAATCATTTGTTGAATCTTAAAAGCCAATGAAATTATTTATACTCGTTATGATGAAGGAGAAGTCATTTTTTGTATATTTCTTTTCTTTACTATATCATTTTCTTCTTTTCTATTTTCCTTCCTATTTTTACTTTCCAGCAACTTCTGTAATTTTTCTAATTCTTTTCTGTTTGTTTCTTTTTAATTGTAATAAAATTTAAAATTTTTAAATTTAATAAAATTACTGCAAAACGTCCTGCCGCTGCCCGATGTTGGGCTTGACAGAGTTCGTCTCTCGTCTATTTTAGCTCCAGCTTTGCAGCCAGACAAGCAACATCAGGAACAATTAAAGCAACCTGCAATATATGTCGCTCTACAGGCGAGGGCATCCCAGGGACGCGGTGACCATCGGAGGGGGTCCCAAACCCACTGACCTGCAAATGCTCGGGCCTCATCTGTTGGAACGGCTCGCAGGTGACGCAGGTCGCTTTTGTTCCCCACGAGCATAATGACAATGTTGCTGTCTGCATGATCCCGCAGCTCCTTCAACCACCGTTCCACATTTTCATAGGTCAGGTGCTTGGCAATGTCGTAAACCAGTAAGGCCCCCACGGCACCACGGTAATAGCTGGAGGCACAAAACACAACATTGATTATCCGTCGTTTACATTTCTAGGTCCGCCCGCTCATTGACAAATCTGGGTGCCTTACAAGGATGGAAAGAAATACTGTATTAGAGCCGCAGTAGGGCAGTGGTTAGAATGCAGTAGTGCAGGCTACTTCTGCTGACTGCCGGCTGCCGGCAGTTTGGCATTCGATCCTGACCAGCTCAAGGTTGACTCAGCCTTCCATCCTTTCAAGGTGGGTAAAAGGAAGACACAGATTGTTGGGGGCAAGCAGCTGACTCTGTAAACCGCATAGAGAGGGCTGTAAAAGCACTGTGAAGCGGTATATAAGTCTAAGTGCTATTGGGAAAGGAAGCAGGAAGGAAGGAAAGAAGGAAGGAGCTGTGATGGCGCAGTGGTTAGAATGCAGTATTGCAGGCTAATTCTGCTGACTGCCAGGAGTTCAATCCTGACTGGCTCAAGGTTGACTCAGCCTTCCATCCTTCCGAGTTCAGTAAAAAGAGGATCCAGAATGTTAGGGGCAAGAGGCTGACTCTGTAAACTGAGGGTTGTAAAAGCACTGTGAAGCGGTATATAACTTTAAGTGCTATTGCTGTTGCTATAGTGGTAGCCCTTGATTTTCGACTACAATTGGAACAAAAATTTCCATGGCTAAATAAGGTGATTGTTAAATGAGGAATGTCTGATTTTATAACCTTTTTTTGCCAAGGTTAAGAGAATGGCTGCAGTCGTTAAGTGAATCCCACAGTCATTAAACAAATGGGCTTTCCCCATTGACTGCTTGTCAGAAGCCAGCTGGAAAGGTTTCAAATGGTGATCAGGTAACCAGGGGGATGCAACTGTTAACCTATGGTGCTTGATAAGCACCCAAATTTTTATGACATGACCACTGGGACACTGAGATGGTCATAAGTGCAAAGATCGGTCGCAATTCACTTGTTATAGTGCCATTGGAACTTCAAACGGTTGTTAAACAAATGGTTCTAAGTCGAGGAGTACCTGGATATTAAAATGAGGAGAGGAAAAAAACCCTTACCCTATGCACCTTCCATAGTGGAAATCTGTAGACTACAAATTCAATCTCAACAGCTAAAGGGCCAAGAGCTCATTCTTTGATAAACATTTGGTCCTGACTTGCCCATGACTGGATTCACACATTACACTGGGACAGGGAGCCAGAGAAGTAGTCTCAGAGTAGATAGCAATAGCACTTAGACTTATATACCGCTTTACACTGTTTTACAGCCCTCTCTAAGTGGTTTTAGAGACAGCATATTCTCCCCAACAATCTGGGTCCTCATTATACCGACCTCGGAAGGATGGAAGGCTGAGTCAACGATATAGCCCCCACCTTTTAAAAAAAAAATGGTTGAGGTTGAAGAATTTCAAGAATAAAATTCATACCCAAAGCCTTACTGATGCACCTGCTCTTTCACTTAAGAGAGTCAGCCTGGTGCAGTGATCATGGTGAGGAACTACAAACCAGGAGACTGTGAGTTCTAGTACTCCCTTGGACCAGAAAACTGGCCATGTAATTTTGGGCCAGACACTTTCTCTCTCTCTCAGTCCAATCCACCTCACAGGGCAATAGTTGTGTGGAGACAATATGAGGTGGCAACAGTACATTGAATGCCTAGTTGTGCAGAATGAAGATGGGAAATATATTAAATGAATAAATCAATACCCCGTGTCCTTCCTTCTGAAGTAATCCTTGGTCCCACTCACAAAGGGCAGGTAATCTTCCACATGTGAAAGAAAACCTGAGGGCCCTTTCAAATCGATGAGATGCTGAACAGCGTTACGTGCAACCATCGTTTATTTTAACCGTGATCTGTTCAATTACAACAAGCTGAACTTATGCCGATGAAACCACACTGCACCTGAGTGTAATGAAGAAACTTAATAGGTAAGATGCAACTGATCCTCAGCAGACGAAAACCCACTAACTAGTAATACTTTAATATCTGGGAGCCTCAAGCTAGTTCTGTCATGATGTGCTTTTCGTTAACCTAATTAACAAGGATTCAGGACTTCAATATGAAGTCAATATGAACTGTATCACATCATTCCTGATTTCTTTACAAATAGAAGAGTCTTAAAAAGCTTTTCTAAAAAGCACTTAACGAGGGTCCAGGAGCAGAGAGTTTCACACCCATGGAAAGGGAAGCCGACATTGTGTGATTTAGTTTTAAATTAAGGCTGCACAATTTTTTGCAATGACCAAGGAAGTAAACAGGAAGAACTAAATTTGATTTCATGTTATAGTTAAATTTACCTTGCATTTAAACCACCGTTCCCCAGCCTTTCTGGTTTGGTGGGCTGGCGGAAGCAGTGGCAACAGAGGAAGAGGGGATGATTTCGCAGGTGCGCACATCTTTCACAAATGCAACTTTGTGCATGCGCGCACTCGCCCACCACTTCCTATGGGCTGGTTTCAAATTATATTAATCATATTAACCAAGTTAATATAGCTAATATGACTGTTCCCACTACATAATTTTCTTCCTCTTCTTCTTTTAACAACCCCATAATCCCTTGTGGGGTGGAGTCTGGGCAACTGAATGGAGCTAGCAGAGAGTTTTAATGGCCGGATGCCCTTCCTGTCGCCAATGCGGAGTTTTGTTCAGCGGATATATTCTCATTGTGCCCAGAGGGAGAAATATCTGCCTCTACCTAGGATCGAACTCACAGCCTCCTGATTGTGAGGTGAGAGCTCCACCTCTAGGCCACCGCTGCACCACTTCACATAATTTTCTTCCTCTGCCATATTAAAAATAGATTTAGAAATTAAAAGTATTATTGTACAATTTCGGTTTTAATTAATCCAGAGGAAACTGTATAGAAAACAGGGTGGAGACATAATAAATATCAAGACAGAGACATTTGGATGCTCAGTCTGGGCAGGAAGGGAAGGGAACACTTACGCAGATGTGATGGCTCGGTATCGTTCCTGCCCAGCCGTGTCCCAGATCTGAGCTTTGATGGTCTTGCCGTCCACCTGGATACTCCGGGTGGCAAACTCTACACCGATGGTGCTTTTGCTCTCCAGGTTGAATTCGTTACGCGTGAAGCGAGATAGGAGGTTGCTTTTTCCAACTCCGGAGTCCCCAATGAGAACCACTGGAAAGGTGAAACCGGAAGATTATTGGAGAAAGAAAACTTGGAACAAAAAATAGAACGTTGTTATTCTACATGTCCGTGATGATGAGCCTATGGCACACATGCCAGAAGTGGCACCCAAAGCCATCTCGCCGGGCATGTGAACCGTCAGCCGTTGCTCTTTTGGTCTTCGCGTACTGGGCAGCGCCAGAAACTTGAAGAGCAACTCCCCGGTGCGCATGCACCTGCTGGGAAGTTGAGCTTCCTGTTTCTGGTGTATACATGCGTGCCGGCCAGCTGGTCTTCGTGTGTGCATGCGTGCCAGAAACTGGAAGGCCATGTGACCTGCGCACATGCACACTATGAAAACCGGAAGCTCAGCTGCTCTTCCGGTTTCCGGCACTCCCACACGCTCACACTTGGTGCCGAAAAGGTTCACCAACACTGCTATATGTCAACTACGGCAAGAATTCTTGGGGAGGGTGGAATGGGAGATAGAAAGGCCCATCAATTCCCCCAACGGAAGAAGGGGTGGAAAAAGTGATGGAGTTGGCCGAGATGGCAAAAGTAATTGTTTTAATGAAAGAAAAATAAATATATGCCATTGTAACTTTGAACGGTAACTAAATGAACTGTTGCAAGTCAAGGATTACCTGTACTTATAAAGTAATAAATAAGTTCAGAAACGTATAAGCCTGGCCGAGGAAGAAGGCTGGCCTTTTAAAGCCGACTGCTGCTGTGAACCTATGGGCTAGGGGCATAGTTACGGGAGATCCAAAATAATAAATCACAATCCACCAACAAGCCCTTCCTGAGAAAGTAAGCCTCTCACACATAAAAAGGGATCCATCATGATAAGCAGCCCCAGCAGGAAAACAGCTTTTCGAGAGAGAGAGAAAAAAAACACCAAAGGTTATGAACATTCCCAGGCGGCCAAGCTAAAGCTGCGCACAATTCGAATGCCAGGTTAATTAAGTTTTTGTGGTTCCTCTGGAAAGCAATAAATCTGGGGAGCCATAGAAAGCGCACGGGGGTCCCCCCAAAGCCAACCAGCCTGCCGAACATTCCCCACCGCCCTTCCAGCAGCCGGCAGGGCACAATTAGCTGGCCTCAGCAACTCACAAGGACACAAGCCAGGGAGGAAATCCATTACCTCATTGGGTAATCAGCTGACTCATATTTACAGATCCAAACAGCTTAAAACCACTGCATAGACGGAGGTTCTGCAAACACTTGGCAGACAAAGGATTGGGTGGGAAATGAAACCGGCCTCCGCAGACTGGAAAGGTATTTTTTTCAGGGGCAGAAAAGACGGAATATTTTAAAAGGATCTGCAACAAATGCATTTGGGGGGGAGGGGGGGGGAAATACAGGTAGTCCTCGACTTACGACCATTCGTTCAGCGACCATTCAAAGTTACCCCAAAGGTGCTTTTTCAGGAGGCAATTGGACTTTCTTGTTTTTTCTTTTGAAGACATTTCAAAAGCCTGGATGACGGAGAATCTCTACAGACTTTTAGCTGTTCAATTTGGGACCTTTTGAATGGTGTGGGAGGAGGAATGGATTTCCAGGGAGAAAAACTGCAGACTACAGGAACCAGGAGCCCCACTCAGGTGACCCTGAGGACAACAGACAAACCTCCAAGTGGCCTCACCGACCCTCTAAAAGGATGCGAAGGACCAGCTGTCTGCAAGGAGTATCAATCCTTCCATTCCCCACCATCCAAGTCAGAGCTGAAGAAGCTTCCTGGATGAGAAGTGAAACGTCTTCAAAAGAAAAAACAAGGAAGTCCAGTTGCCTCCTGAAAAAGCACCTTTGGGACAACCATGACCTGGATGACTGAGAATCTCTACAGACATTTAAAGTTACAACACCGAAACAATGACTTACGGCGGCTTTTTCATACTTAAGACCCCTGCAGCATCCCCATAGTCGGGCGATCAAAATTCAGACAAAATTGGCAACTGATTCATATTTATGATGGTTGCAGTGTCCCCGGAGTCATGTAATCCCCTTTTGCGACCTTCTGACAAGCAAAGTCAAGGGGAGGCGCCAGATTCACTTAACAACTGCAGTGATTCACTTAACAATTGTGGCAAGATCACAAAATAGGGCAATTTTTTCCCCCCCTTGCTTGGGAACAGAAATGTTGGACTCAATTGTGGCCTTAAGTTGAGGACTACTTGGGTGGATTGAAGAGAATGACAGGTCCACTTTTGTCCATCATACAACTTTCCAAACTCTGAATGTGGCCTGCAAAGCAAGCTCAAACAGAACATGAAGTGGTGACTGGAAGGCCAGAATAGGAAGCAGAAGTGATGCAAAGGCCTCCTGTCGGTGCCGTAATTCCCAAACCTGTCAGAACGCAACTCCCATCAGCCTGGGCCAAGAATGACGGAAGCCAGCGAGACAAGTTCAGCCAAGGGTAAAAGTAGCAAGAAGGTCAAACTGAAGTGCCTCCAAACCCCTTCTGTAAAATAGTCCCTTCTCTGAATGATATCCACAATATGCACAATTTTTTAATTATTATTATTTATTTATATCCCGCCTTTACTATTTTGACAAATAACTCAAAGCGGCGAACGTATCCCACACACCTTCCTCCTCCTATTTTCCCCACAACAACAAACTTGTGAAATGGGGCGGGCTTAGAGAAAGAGATTTTATGCCTAAGGTGGAACTAGAACTCAATGTCTCCTGGTGATTGGACCAAAGATACCTAGCTGGCTTTTATGCTTAAGGTGGAACTAGAACTCACCGTCTCCTGGTGATTGGCCCAAAGATACCCAGCTGGTTTTTATGCCTAAGGTGGAACTAATACTCACCGTCTTCTGGTGATTGGCTCAAAGATACCCAGCTGGCTTTTATGCCTAAGGTGGAACTAGAACTCAATGTCTCCTGGTGATTGGCTCAAAGATACCCAGCTGGCTTTTATGCCTAAAGCAGAACTAGAACTCACTGTCTCCTGGTGATTGGCCCAAAGACTCCCAGCTGGCTTTTATGTCTAAGGCAGGACTAGAACTCAGGGTCTCCCGCTTTCCAACCTGGTGCCTTAACTAGATGGGGAATTCGCTTCTGGAAAAGTTCTGGATGGATTTGAGGGATTACAGGGAGAAGCAGGATTTGCCCCTCACCCCTGGAATCCAACTTTGTGCATTAGAATGCCAACTATGCCATGAAACTTAACTTGGTCAATAGAATCCCAGGGAGTAAAATTCACAATAAAAAAGGATAGCTAATCTATTCTACAAGGACCATTCAGTTACTCCTAATATAAGAATAAAAATTGCCAGCCCAGTCTCCGTTCTCTGCAAAAATTAGTGTTCAGTAAAATCAGATGAGTGACCCCCAATCAGTCTCAAATAGGAAATCAAGCTCATAAAGAAAATCTTGATCCTTTTAATTAGGATTTGTCAAAAAAAATTGCCAAGAAAACTGCAGGGACCTGTCCAGAAAGTTTCAGAGAATTGAACATGATTGAAGAGGGAAAAGGTGTATAATTTCAAAGATGAAAAAAGAAACATACATGAATAAGAATAAAAAGAAAAAAATTAAAAGTGCAGAAAATAAAAAGAGAAAAAGAAGAAAAGATAATACAATTAAAAAAAAGAAAAGAAATATATAAAGAAGTAACTTCTCCCTTCATCACAGCATGTACAAACAATTTCAGAAGCTTATCGTTTTCTCTGAAAATACAATAAAACATCTCTGCTTCCCATACATTCAGGTCAGGTCAGCAAAAGTCCATTGGTGGTTACCGGAAATAACATTTATATTTTAAACTTGATCAAATAAGCCAACTTTATATTCTTTCCCTTTGGTTTTAACAATGTTAATCTTTAGTCTATTTAAATAATCTCTCAGAAGTTTATTTCTTTTCATTATGTCTTTGTCCCTTCTCAGAAAATCCTTCAAAATTTCAACAAGTCTCTTCCAAATCCAAAATAAGAAAAAATATCCAAGTCACCCTTCTGGTTTCTTATTTGTATATCTCTTATAATTGCCAAGACATCACTTGGTTTCATTTGTATATCCAGTATAACATCTTTTTCCTTACCAGTCTTGTAACCTGTCATTTTTAAATCCATATTCAAATCAGTCTGTCTTGTCCAGTAAAACTTGTTTCTATTTTATAATCTCTTTTAAAACCAGTTAGTCTATGACAGCAGACAATTTTAAGATTAACTTGAGTTTATTGTTCAGAAATGCCTTTCGGTTCATCCAAAATTAAAGTATTATGCTCCATTTTGTGTTACTGAGGCAAATAAAAGTATTTTGAATTATAAACTTCAATTTATTTCACGTTCCCTCTAGTGTCTAACCTTCTAAATCCAATCTTATGTTTCCCCCACACACACACACTAAATAACAGCATTTTCCCATGGGAAGGTTTCTTCAAATTATTTGAAATCCCTCTGGACCCTTAACCTTTTATAACTTTCTAAAATAAAGATTCTAATCATGTTTTTGATGTTTATTCTCCCTCCTCATTTTTTTAAGTCCTTAATCTTGCACTTACAACTTTTCTTTCTTCAAGAATTGAAGGAGACCCACTCAAGGAATGTTGTAAAACGTATCGATCCAAAAGTTCTCAATAAATAAAAAGCAATTCAAAGGCAATTCAAAAAAGTGAGACTCAGCTGAGCTTTTTTGTCTATACAGACAACATTGGGGCTGCAAGATTAGAAGGGATCCCTTGACTCCAAGCCACTCGTGAGTTGATTGCAAAAATCTCAGATCCTGCAGCATACTCATGAGGAGCGCATGTGGGCAACCTCATCATCTCTCCTTTTTCTGGAGAGATGAGGCAGCCAGAAGTCGCCTTCTGGTTGCCCATCTCTGCTGCTCCTTTGAGGATGTCCTGTCATCATCTAAAGCAGGGGTGTCAAACTCCATTTCATTGAGGGCCACATTAGGTTTGTGTTTGACCTCAGAGGGCCAGGGTGGGTGTGACCAGAGTGGGTGTTGCCAGCATGTCACTTGTGTTGGGGGGGCATCTGTGGTGGCCCAAGTACTCTGCCAGTG